TGAGCATGACCTGTCTGATATATACATCAAGGACCAGATCATCCGTGGAATAGCAAATGACACACTCCAGGCTGACCTACTGGCCAAAGCTGGGGCACTTAAATCCCTTGAGCAAAATATCCGTCATGCTGAGGCATTTGAATCAGCATTGCGAGACCAAACCTCAATGGCTGGCGCTACAGATACAGCCGCTGCTTGGCTATCAACATAACACAGACAGAAGGGTACACCACAAGCCAACGAGGGGATCCGTACCAGCACCTACTGCAACTGCAATGTTAAACCAAACCACCAGGCTTGCTTAGGTTGTGGCAGCCACCAGCATGGCACCTCAGGAACGGGATCCCGCCAGCTAAAACGCCCAGCATGGGGACAAACATGTAGTAATTGTGGGAAGCCCAATAACTTATCGAGGGTATGCCGGGCTAAGAAACCGGCTTAAGCGGTCAGGAAAAGCCCAGAGGCTAATGAAGCCACCATGGACACACTTATCGCCCACACTACATTCAATCAAACGACGGGCACATATACATCTAAAGACACAGACCAGGTAAAGGAGATTGACGCATATGTTGTCCCATTCTTGCCAAAATTGAATCCCAGACAAGTTAAGAATATCCCCAGAAATCACAGCACTAGGATGACGATCTTTCCCGTCAGTGGGGTCACCTTATGTCTCGGGGGACTTCTGAATATGCGGCTCACTACCGACAACCTCATCCCATCAAGAAAAGTCGTCCGAGCTGTGGAAGGCTTTACACTCATATGTCAGGGTTGGCTCCCCGTGGAATTCATCGTCCAAGGAAGAACAACTAAACAAGCCCTATACATATGCAAAAAGATCCAGCGGCTATACTTCAGCAAAGCAGCCTGCATTGATGTAGGGATACTGTCGAAAGACTTCCCAAACCCGACGACTACAATATTACCCCAAACAGCAATGCAACACATGCCCTCGACAAGCAGGCATAAAAAATCAGAACTGAGCCCCAAACAAAGCAAAGTCGAGGAATAACTTCCGACGCGCCCCAAAGAGCTCCCCCCGCAACAGAACAAAACATTGACAGGCTCAAGAATTGGCTACTGAATCAATTCGCCGAAACGGCGTTCAAAAACAATGGTGAATTACCACCAATGTCTGGCCCCACTGCTCATATACACCTCAAAGAAGGAGCAGTCCCCAAAGCAAGACATAACCCAATTCTTGTGCCTTTTCACTTCAAAGAGCCCGTAAAGCAGGCCCTTTGGGAAGATGTGAAAAGGGGTATCATAACCTCAGTACCCGTCGACATGCCCACTGATTGGTGTAGCACTATGGTAAATACCATCAAGAAAAATGGCAAAATACGAAGAACCATAGACTATCAACACTTGAATTCACAGTGCAAACGTGAAACACACCATACAGGGTCACCATTCCAGCTAGCACTACAGGTGCCACCTAAGCAAAAGAAAAAAGTGTTGGATGCTGTTGATGGATACCACTCCATCCCCTTAAATAAAGAGTCCCAGCCACTCACCACCTTCATCAAAGAATGGGGAAGATTCATGTACCCGAGGATGCTACAAGGCTACCTAGCATCTCCTGATGCCTATACCCGAAGGTATGATGAAGTAATAAAAGACATCCCCCGCAAAGTAAAAATCGTAGATGACACCCTACTCTACGACTCTAACATCGAAGGAGCCTTTTTTCACACCTTCGATTTCCTCTTCCATTGCGCAAAAAACGGTATTGTACTCAATAGAGAAAAATTTCAATTTTGCCAAGACAGTGCAGTTTGGGGGCCTCCAGATAACATCCTCTGGTGTAACCCCTTCTAAATCTATGCTGGAGGCGATATTAAGCTTCCCAATATCAAAAACACTCACCGATGCCAGATCATGGTTTGGTCTGGTCAACCAAGTCGCTTGGGCATACTCACTGAGCCCAGTCATGCTTCCATTTCGTGATCTCGTAAAACGAGACTCACACTTTATATGGAATAAAAGCCTTGAGGATGCATTCCAGCATTGAAAGAAGGTCATAGTTGACTTAGTCCGAAAAGGCATCGCTACATTTGAAAAAGATCGAATAACCTGCCTCGCCCCAGACTGAAGCAAAAACGGAATCGGCTTCCTACTTCTGAAGAAGTATTGCTCATGCACCACCGACAAAGCCCCAGTTTGCTGCCCTGAAGGTTGGCGCCTGATATTTGCCGGTAGAAGATTCTGCATTGATGCTGAACGCAGATACGCACCTATTGAAGGCGAGGCAGCAGCAATTGTGCGGGCACTGGAAAAAATTTGTAATGGGTTGCCCGAATCTCATAGTAGTTACAGATTATGAACCACTGAAAGGATTATTCGGAGATAGAGACTTTAGCAAAATCCAAAACCTGTGATTATTCAGGTTAAAGGAGAAAACCCTCAGGTACAGATTCATCATTCAGCACTGCCCTGGTAAATGGTACAGAGCCTCCGATGCTGTCTCTCGTAACCCAGCAGACATCTCACAGGCACTCCTAAATGTATTCACTGCTGAACCCTCTCAATCAGACATCATAGAGTCTGACGACATGGAT